GTACTCCAGAGTGTTGTTCAGCATGGGGGTGAGTAGAAAATGAAGGCTAATCATGTTTTGGGTGTACTATTCCTTTAACCCTGCCTTGCCATATACCAAAATTACTACAGAAAGCTTTGATAAATACTAAAATGCTGTAAACATTAGCAGCAAATGTTATTTGGTATTTCATTGCATTTTACTCACCAATTTTCCTGCAGTCTTGCAGGTAAAAATTCTTCCACTCTGTGCAGCAGTACAGAGTGGAAGAAAATAAGACATTTCTTTGACAAGTTTCGCATTATATATTTATAGGCACGTATGATAATATCAGTAAGTTTGAGCAAAGGCATAAAATGAGCCGTTCTGTCGTCTGACCTTTCTCAGTCATCTCTTTCAGGTGACGTGGACCTCCTGAAGGAGGAGTGCCGTATGCTGAGGGAGGAGTGTGAGAGCCTGAAGGAAAGCAACAGGAGGCTGACGGAGAAGCTGCAGCTGCTGCAGAGACAGAGGACATGGTGAGAGGTCAACGGCTGCTCAGTCATGAGCCGTCCTCATTTTATCAGCTGGTGGGGATACCCTCTGGAATATTGCCCTGTGGCAAAGCCATATGTCATGTTAAAAAAAATACTCACCACCTGTTTGTTTACTGCGGCACATTTGGAATGTCACAGACAGGTTGATGTAAAACCGCTGAATTGATTTTGTGATTAGCTGGTAAGGGATTAGAAACAACTGAAAGCATTCAAAACGACAAATGAGAAATGGCGTTTTAAATTCCTTCCTCCACAGCTCCAGTGTCTATCTGTCCCTCAAAGAGGAAGATGCAGTGGAGGGTGGAGAGGAGAAGGAGGGCGAGGCTGGCTCGGGCGAGGTCATGACCGGGAGTTACATGACCATGACCCAGTCTGAGAACTGTCGCCTGGTGGATGCCTCCATCCAGAAGAACATCTCTTTTGATGGGAAGCCGGTGACGCCCACAAGCTGGAACGGAGGCATCGGGGAGATCTTCTCACTGAGAGAGCAGCTGAAACAGGCCGAGGAGAAGGCCTCCCAGGTTCAGAGAGAGGTGTGATGCTTCCATGGCAGCAGTATACTCTTAATAAGTCTTTAAAATGTTTTGGATGGACATACAGAAAGAAAAAGAAACAGCTGTCTGTTTGGATTTTTTTTTTTATTTTTTATCCAGTGTGATGGTCTGAAGATGGAGCTGCAGGAGCTGCAGATTCTGTACGACAGCAGTCAGAGGGAGAGGGCAGAGCTGGAGGAGGAGCTGCAGCGCTGCAAGGCCGAGCTGGAGAAGTTGTCAGGAGGAACTCAGGTGAGGAGAGACCAGATATTACAGTCACCATGGGACAAACGTGAACCACTACTGAGAGCTTTTTATCTTCCAGCCACTCCTAGTGATATTCATACCCCTTAAAATCTACAATCTCACATTTGATCTGTTTTTTAGCTTTTTATGTGACAGACCGACACAAAGTACTACAGGACTGTGAAGTTTAAGGAATAGTACACCCAAAACATGATTAGCCTTCATTTTCTACTCACCCCCATGCTGAACAACACTCTGGAGTACTTTTTTGATATCTCAAATGCATCTGGAGATCTGGGAGGCTTCTTGCTGTCTGCTGACATTCAAATAATGGAGGTCTATGGCGCCCGAGGCAGAAAGGTCCATAAAAGTCCACAAAAAACGTGTCAATATTCCTCCATACTGCTCGTCCAATGTATTCCAAGGGTCCTGAGTGGGTAGCGTCCATAATTTACTCGAAACGAAGTCATTTAGAATGTTTTTAGAGCATAAACAGTAGTGTATAGGATTTCCTGAAAGCGCGTTCACGAGTCTACGGAAACCGCGGCAGACCAAACCAGATGAAAGTGCGCATTCAGCGTCTGCTCTGCCGATAATGCAAGCGTAGAAGAAGAAATGTGCTGTTTACCTGTGCAAAGAAAGAAACAACGAAAGAAAAATGTCTGAGGACTTCAGTGTTGGGGAAGAGCATGAGTTCTTTGCCGTAACTGTCCTGCATAAAATAATGAAGAAAAAAACTGAGATTTTAAGAGAGGATTTTTATTTTTTTATAGAAATTTTCTACATTTTGGGACTAAATCATCCGATAAAGAATACATTTATATACATGTTTAAGCCAGAATGAGTTGATATTTAAATATGACTTCCCTACGACTTTAAATGAAGAGAGATATGGGGTTTAAATCCAAACACACCTTTTTGAAAGCAGAATAGTTGCACTATTTTGTGTCGGAGTGTCACATAAAACCCCAGTAAAATATATTTAAGCTTGTCCTTCAACCAACATGACACATTTTAAAAGATTAAAGTGGTATGAATATGTTCACAAAGCAATGCACAGTATATTTTTGAATAAGCAACTCATGCACGATAAAAAAAAAAGTTATATTTAGGTATGCATTTTGTGACATGCATGCATTTTTGTACCAGTTTTTAAAGCAAGGCTTTTCTGCATGTAGAAAATAAATGTTTTTTTCCCCCTGCAGCTGCAGCTAACGCATTAACAGTCACATTACACTTTGTCGTATTCTGTGTATGTTATCCACTTTTCTATGTGTCCCATACTGTGGCGATACATGTTCTGATATGAACTGACCTGCCCTGTCAGCTCATATCAGCATTTTCTTTCCTCTTTGGATGGAGGGAAACGCTCCCCTCACTTCCACAGTGTCTGTGTCCTGACCTCTCTGTGATAATGGGGCTTTAATACTGTTGATGGACAAAAACCAAACTAAAATAAATACTCTTTAAGATAAAGACTAACAATTGAAATAAAAAAGTTTAGAGATAAGTAAATTAACTTTCAATTTAATCTGTCTATATCCTATGTTAGACAATAATTGCATCAAAAGTGTATTTAAATGCAGTCTCAATAGCTTTGTAGAAATTACTTCTTGCTTTTGGCTTTTTCTGTGGGAAGGAGGGGGTTCCCTTTTTATGACTTCAATGTCTTGTATTTTGTTTATACTCAGTAGCAAAAACTGGATATTCTTATGACTTCAACTCTTCAGAAAGGTTTGCTGAATTTAGCTCAAAATAGAAAATTAAACTGTTTGAAAAAAGTGTGTATAATAAAGGAAAGCTTTTCCATTTTTAGAGGAATTTATCTCACATTAAAACGTTAAAATGTGTTCATCTGAATGTTATACTTACTTACTTTGAATTGTACACAATTAGCTAGACAATTGTACACAATTAGCTAGAAATGGCTCACAGGCTTTGGTTTGGATACCCCTGCTTAACCCTATAATGCCAAATGTATCGTATTTGATACATACGGTTTCTGACACCTTTTGCATAATTTAATGGTAAAAACTTTGCTCAAAATCCTAATGTACACAATCAGATATACCTGATAACAGCCAGTAGAAGACTACACAAAAAATCATCTTGACTTATCGCATAGTAATAAATTATTAATATCAGAAATGTGTTTCTGTTTTTTCTTTTTACATATTTTGTTAAAAGGGCAAATAAGGACTTCAAACCAAAAAAAAGGAATTTTCTGTTTTGTTTTATTCTTGGATCAGACTTTAAAGGGTTAAAAATGGAACAATATTTGTGAAAAAAAATGCATATATTGGTAGAGACACAGATTTAAGAATGTCCTGTTTGCCTAATGTGCGAAATAAACAAAAATAATTGAGATGTGAGGAAGAAGGGGATTATAACTGGTTGGTGAATCTTATCTTGAGATTTCTTTGCATTATGTTGGCCACCAATGGTAAAAAAATATATATTTTTTTTTAAATGAAGCAGGTATCTCCCAACATCATCACATTCTTTATACCAACAACCAGTGCAGATTTGTAATCTTTTCAATGGTGCAACCCACATATAAAAGAGGCTTTTCAAAAGTCACATCAAAGCAATTAATGACATAATACAGATTACCTTTTATTTCTTTGGTTTATTTATTTAGCTTCTAGATCTGTTATCAATTAATAAAAAAGACTTTAATTAAGCTAAAAGACAAAACAAGATGCAAGGAGTAAAAAAAAAAAAAAAAGGATCCTTTATGTTTTGCCTTCAACAGCCATGATGGGATGTGTCTGCATTGTGTCAAACTGTCTCCCCGTGCCTGTCTCTGACGCTGTCCTTGTTCTCTGAATGTCCATGACCTCTCAGCCTGTCAGACGACAAATTAACGCCATAACGAGGATAGAGAGAATAAACCGCCTCCAAATACTCCCTCACATTGTTCGCCTTTCTTTTCCCGGCCACTCAAAACATCACATGCTGACAACAAATGCCGCACAATCCTGAGCGCACATCCTCATGCCGACTAAATGTTTATGTCACCGTAAAGTTATGCATTGTTTGTTTAATGGGGCGTTTAAAACGCTCCATCACTGTCTTTTCCTGTAAATCCCAGCATTAGACATTGTGACATTTTATTTTTCATCATGTATTGATTTTTGTTGGTGTTTTTGGTCTGAATCAACAGCTCTGTTCAGTGTTTGTATTATTTTGTGTTATCAGTCCATCCATCCATTCACCCCCATCATCGCCATGGTCCTTGTGTTTGTTTTTTGATCCTTCCTCAGAGATTCATCCATCCGTCTGAGCACCCTGTTCTCTCCATCCCCTTCGTAGGAATGATTATAATTGTGGCTGTGGTCTGGTGCTGGTTGTCGGAGCTGGCGTCCCAGAGAGCAAGGTATGGGAGGAGCTTAACTCTACCTGATGCATTGTTTTGTTTTGCTGGAAATCCCAGACGGTCCTAGCAAATGCTAAATAAACAAGTGGAACATATGTTTGAATAAATAACATATTCCTAAAGATTAATAAAATAAAATAAATGATAAATAATGAAACAAAAAAAGGAAACTACATTAAATTTTGAGTAATCAGCACAGAAAACTATTTAATGTGATTATAAAAACGAACTGATTCAACTTTCTTTAATCATATAGAAGAAAATTTTGCATAACAAAAATCGCTTTTGTAAATTGGTTTTTATTTCTGCAAAATAGACAAACAAAACACAATTTGTGATGAAATAATTGTATAACAGCTAGAGTAATATATGTGTATAAATACTGTACACTGCAAAAAATCTAAATCTAGATAAGTCGTTTTTTCTTATAATAAGTGCATTTGTTCTTGAATTGAGGAGGTAAAAGAGACATTTTGCCAATGGAACAAGACAATTTACACTTAAAATAAGAAAACACAATTGCATTGTCTTATTTCAAGTGCATTTTATCCAATTATCTTATTTTAAGAGTAAAAATACTCATTCCATTGGCAAACTATCTCATTTACCTGCTCAAATTAAGGATAAATACACTTAATTTAAGAAATTTTGACACATTTTTATATCGTTTTTGCAGTGTAGTTTAGAATATATTCAGTTCCCTCGTGAAGAGCGTCTGCACTGGAAAAAATCTAAATCTAGAAAAGTCATTATTTCTTAAAATAAGTGCATTTGTTCTTGAATTTAGAAGGTAAAAGACATATTTTGCCAATAAAAACAAGACAATTTACATTTAAAATAAGAAAACACAATTACATTGTCTTATTTCAAGTGCATTTTATCTAAATATCTTATTTTAGGAATAAAAATACTCATTCAATTGGCAGATCATGTCATTTACCTACTCAAATTAAGGGTAAATTCACTCAATTTGAGTAATTTTTACTTATTTCTAGATCGTTTTTTCAGTGTGTAGTACACTGCAAAAAATTGAAATCTAAATAAGTCATTTCTTTCTTAAAATAAGTACATTTTTTCTTGAATTTAGGTGGTAAGTGAGACACTTTGCCAGTAGAACAAGACAATTTACATTTAAAATAAGAAAAAGACAATTACGTTGTCTTATTTCAAGTGCATATTATCTAAATATCTTATTTTAATACCAAAACTACTCATTCTATTGGCAAATAATATTATTTACCTGCTGAAATTGAGGGAAAATACACTTAATTTAAGAAATGTTTACTTATTTCTAGATCATTTTTTCAGTGTAATGTTGCTGTTCACTGCAAAAACCATCTAGAATTAAGTAAAAACTATTCTTAAATTGAATGTATTTACCCTTAATTTTAGCAGATAAATAAGATGATTTGCCAATGGATTGAGTATTTCTACTCCTAAAACAAGATAATTAGATAATATGCACTTGAAATAAGACAAAGCAATAGTCTTTTTCTCATTTTAAATGTAAATTGTCTTGTTCCTTTGGCAAATTTTGTCAATTACCTCCTCAATTCAAGAAAAATTCACTTGATTTAAGCAAAAATGACTCATTTAGATTTCCATTTTTTGCAGTGTTGTGCAGCAAACATGATTAATAGAAAAACCCCAACATCTAGCAGCAATCCCTGCTTTTATGGGGAAAAAAAGTCTCCGGTTCATTAATATTCTTAAGGTTTCTGGCTTTAATTCCAACAGAGATTTTCAAGATATTTCAAAACAGCTTATGATCACCCCTCTACTGTCTTCCAGACGTCTTTTGAAGCCGATCCATGATGGACTTTGAGACATGCTTGTGATCGTTATCCTGTTTGAAGCTCTACTGAGGCGTTTTGCAAAACCAGAGAAAGCATAGAAGTCCTGAGCCTGTGCCTTACTCCTCTGTATGCAGGGTGTTCTTTTCAGCGGATGCTTAATGCTTCCTCTTTTAGACATAGGCTAATGCTGATCCAAAGGCCTGAAAGGGGTTTATTTTGACTCACTGGGCAACAGAATAGAATCCTAAAACATCCTTGGTTTATTTTTATGCTTGTGAGCAAACTGGAGCTGATATTTTATGCTCCTGGGTCCGTAGTGGTGGAGGTTCTGGAGGTCAAGTATAGAGCCTTTTAGTGTGTTGTATGTATCTAACTGGGGAATCTAAAACTAGTGGCGGCTGCTGCTTCTGCTGTGAGCCTTGCTGGAGCTCTTATTTAGTCAGTTGAAGGTTTAATAAAGGAAATTTGACTTCCTTTTTTTCCACATTCAAGGATGTTGGAACTGGTCTTTTGACTTTAAAGTGTTGATGACACGATATTGATTTTATGTAATGAGTAAATATTTCTCAAACTTAGTGTATTTACACTTAATTTGAGCAGGCCAATGGAATGAGTATTTTTACTCTTAAAACTCTTAAAATTTTTACTCTTAAAATAAGATATTTAGATAAAATGCACTTGAAATAAGAAAAATGCAATTGTGTTTCCTTATTTAACTGTAAATTGTCTTGTTCCATTGGCAAAATGTCTGTTTTACCTTCTCAATTTAAGAACAAATGCACTTATTTTAAGAAAAAATTGACTTTTTCCAGTGTTATCCTTTTTATGTCTTCAGTTTAAAGCACACTTGTGTATTTTTTTATAGCAAACGCAGAACGTCTGAATACAGAGGATACACTCAATCCAGTGGTTGTTGAAAAATTGTCCAAAGCAAATATATTAATAACTTCATTCATTTTTCTCTCAATTTTAATATTTGTTTTTGATTTCGTGGTCTAGTTTTTGATCACCGGTAAAAAATATTCTACACATTTATCTTTAAAGGAATTCAAATGATTTGTTTTTATGATTTAGTCTCATGACATATTTGTCAAAGCGCCACTTGAACAGGACGGGTGGGCAGTTTGACAATTTACACCCAAGAACTAGCCTAAATTACAAAAAACTTTTACCAGTTTAGAAATTAAGAGTACATATCATCAAGTCTACAGATTTGTGATTGACTTTATTGTTATTCTTTATCTGGTTCAATTTTAGTGCCTTTTTGTGTTTATATCCCCTAAAAACATGTAATCAAAAGGACTGTGTGAACATTTAGGGTACAACTAATAAACCATTCTTTATTTTTTCAGCAAAATAATGCAGTATTCTTGCTGATCTACTAAACAAAACAAACAAAATGTCAGTTTAAATAGGTTAAAACAAAAACCTTGTTTTTCTCATGTTTTTAATGTAAATGTTTTTTGTCTTTGGTGCCTTTTCTAATTAGTCAGGCAACAATGCGATATAATGTGATATACTCTTTGAAACAGAGATGTAAATATTCTTATTAAAGACTGAAAGAATGCGCAGTAAAATGCAAACTTTGAATTTCACTATCATTGCTTTATACTGTGGTGTAAATAGGTTAAAAAGGGGCTCGTCTATTTAGAGATGTATGTCTTCAGAAGGGTTAGTTTTCCCCTAAAAAGCTTTATAGCTTTAAGAAAGACAGCAAAGCCCCTCAATGATGAATATATACAAAACTGTATCATATTAAGATATACTTTCTGACACAAACGGTTAACCTGAGTGAAGTTGGCCCCCCCACCTTCTTCAAATCAGACAAATTTAGTGTCAAATTTTGTGCTCCGTTTGTGCTACGTTTGTGCAGCAAAAATTTTCATTTGTGCCGCTATCGTTTTAAAGATATAAAGAAATATTTCTAGAGGTCATCAAAGGTCAACCAGCCTTCCCACCCTCTTCAAATCAGACGAAATGGGTGTCAATTAACTCAGCTCCGTTTGTGCAGCAAAAATTTTTGTTTGTGCTGCTTTGGCTTTGAAGATAATAATGAAAATGTAAAGGTCAAAAGGTCAACCAACCCCCCCACCTTATTCAAATTAGACAAAATTGGTGTCAAACGTTTGTGCAGCAAAAATTTTCGTTTGTGCCACTATCGTTTTAAAGATATAAAGAAATATTTCTAGAGGTCATCAAAGGTCAACCAGCCCTCCCACCTTCTTCAAATCAGACGAAATGGGTGTCAATTAACTCAGCTCCGTTTGTGCTGGTTTGTGCAGCAAAAATTTTCGTTTGTGCTGCTTTGGATTTGAAGATTTGAAGGATTTGAAAAAAAGGGGGGGGGGGATGGTTGACCTTTGATGACCTCTAGAAACATCTCTTTATATCTTTAAAATGAAAGTGGCACAAACGAAAAGTTTTGCTGCACAAACGATTGACACCAATTTTGTCTAATTTCAAGAAGGTGGAAGGGGCTGGTTGACCTTTTGACCTTTACATTTTCATTAATATCTTCAAAGCCAAAGCAGCACAAACAACAATTTTTGCTGCACAAACCAGCACAAACGGAGCTGAGTTCATTGACACCCATTTCTTCTGATTTGAAGAAGGTGGGGGGGCTGGTTGACCTTTGATGACCTCTAGAAATATTTCTTTATATCTTTAAAACGATAGCGGCACAAACGAAAATTTTTGCTGCACAAACCAGCACAAACATTTGACACTAATTTGGTCTGATTTGAAGAAGGTGGGGGGGCCAACTTCACTCAGGTAAACGGTTAGTAACCTAGGTTTAAATAAAACAAGCTCCCTGTGGTATTGTCCACTTCCCTTCTGTGGGGTTGGTAAGGGTAATATTACTTTATCACCATGCAGTCATATCTAAACCCAATGTGTGACCTCTATGCAGCTCAGAGACTTGCTGGTGAAGATGTCTAATCCCTCCATGAGGCATCATCTGCCTCTGCTGAACTTCCCTTTTTATTTTAACTGACGGTCAGCAGCTCTGGAAAATGGCCGATAAGATTATCTCCGCAGTCATGATGCAGCTACTTAAATCCTCTTATATCAATAAGTGCTGAAATAGGAGGCAACTGGAAGCCTTTTGTTTCTTGAACCTATATCAGTACTTTCTACACGTATTAAACTGCATCCAACACAGATTGTTTCAAGATACCAAAGCTGAACAGTTTATGCCAGCGAGTGATGCAGCCCAAAAAACAGTAGTTTAAGTTAACTCAGAAATATGAATCTGAGAGCTGTCCTTAAGATAAAATACCACATATTATTGTGTTTGTTTAGTGTGAACAATCAGAAATTAAAAAACAATAATTAGTGGTACCAGATTTGGCATCTAAGCACCTGGAATAACCTCAGTAGATGCTAACAGCACATAATGTTTGCAATTGTTTTAAAGGTATACAAATAAATTGTGATGATCTAAAGGGTTTAGAGTCTCTAATATCAAAAAGACATGCAGAAGCTAAGTTTGCTAAGTTAATATGCACTCTTATGGGTGAAAATTTTAAACTTTCTGGGCTGTTAATAATGTATTTAACTGTTGTTGTTTTTTTTCTGGGTGGAATTACGGATTAAATTCCACCCAGAATACTTGATGAGCATACATAATACAAAAAAAAAACTTTTTTAGAAATATCAGAAAGGTTTAAGGTTATTTTAAAGTCGAAGTTGAATTTATTTTGAAGTTTTCTCTAATCCACATGGGATCAATATTATATATACAGATGCAGGGTTATTTATAAGCTACAAACAGTGGGTAAAATAAGCATTGAACGCACCACAGAATGTCCCACAGAAATCAGTTTATTTATACTGGATTTTTTTCCCCCTGCCTTTGAAGAATGTTATTAACTTTCAACTAGGTTAAAGCAGAGTCTTTAGGAAAGATCATATTTTTATTCAGTGGTGATGATAATGTTATCCTACTGGAGTACCCTGTTCTATCTGGCATTCCATTGGACGCCGTGATGAAGAGGACCTTATAAAGATGTGTAATAGTAAACCAGGCAGCAGCTTTATCTCTGTCTGTAGAACCAGAAACCCCACTAACCTTAGACTTAGATGGCTCTGGCCCAGTCAGCAAACATTAACACCTTTAGGACTCACTGTACTTTGCAGGTAACCACATGTACAATTTAAGATTTATCAACCTTTTTTTCTTTTTTTACCATACAACACTTTATGAACTCTCAACCACATGGCTGCATCATGGTGCGGGTCGTTTCTGCTATGAGTGGCACCAATGTAATACGTTAGGTGGAGGTAGAAATGTATTCCAAAAAAAGTTAAAAAACAATCCACTGGACTTTGTTTTTCAAGTTTAAAGACATTTAGCTTCCCATCCAGGAACCTTTTTTCAATTCAGAATGACAGAAATAGCGTTGAGTTCGAGGCTTTATACAGTAACCCAACGAAGGCTTTTGTACGGTGGCCCTGAAGTGCAAACTGCAACTACAACTCTAAAAGCGCAACTAGATTAAGGAAAACAA